GGGCGGGTGACCTCCGGAACTACGTCCATCTTCCATAAACGACCATGATTTTATTCAACTTATCGAGTATTTTTCAAGGGACCGGGAATAAACGATGATTCTGTAATGTAGAAAATTAGGAAAAGACAAAATTCAGGATGACACGGCACACAGGGACCGGGAAAAAATAATCACTTTATCGAGAGATTCACGACCATGCCTTTATTCAACTTATCGAGTATTTCTCAAGGGACCGGGAAAATATGTTCACTAGAAAAAACGATGATTTTGTAATGTAGAAAATTATGAAAGACAAAATTCAGGATGACACGGCACACAGGGACCGGGAAAAAATGTTCACTTTATCGAGAGATTCAAATATACGAGTTCGAATTATCAAAATATATCTTTCTTTTATAAGTTTATAGAGAATTGTTTTAACAAATGTTCGTTAGACAAACCTTTACTCGGGTAAAACCTCGGGCGAAGCCGGGTACGTCCGCTAGTCTATATATATAAAATTGAATGTCTGTTTGTCTGTACTCTATAGATTCAAAAACCATACATCCAATCGCCGTGAAATTTTGGTATATTATTAGGTATATCACCGGGAAGGTTTTTGAAAAATAATTTCATGAATATCTTGAATATCCTTAGAGTTATTTGTAGATTTAACTCGCAAGCAGCGCCCCCATTGTGACGATGATAACAAGTTTTCTTATCACTAAGTTTGTTATCTTAAATATTATTTATCAAAAGTAAGATTATCTCAGGATGACACTGCAATGTGACACGGGAAAAAATGTTCACTAGATAAAACTATGATTTTCTAATGTAGAAAATTAGGAAAGACAAAATTCAGGATGACACGGCACACAGGGACCGGGAAAAAATGTTCACTTTATCGAGAGATTCAAATTTACGAGTTTCAAATTATCAAAATATATCTTTTTTTTTTTTAAATAAGTTTTTAGAGAATTGTTTTAACAAATGTTCGCTAGACAAACCTTTACTCGGGTAAAACCTCGGGCGAAGCCGGGTACGTCCGCTAGTACCTTGATAAAGGTTGGCGTTCAGCCAACTGAAATATTGGTAAAATAAATGATATTTTGATCCAAAATATGCCTTTTTAATTAAACACCTATTTATCCGAAAATTTACCCCAAAAAAGTCACTTATTTATAAAAATAACTACCTATATGAGCAGAAATGGAAAGAAAAAAAACGTGGAAGACAAACTTCAGGATGTGTGACACATTGTCAATTTATTCAATGTAAAATTAAATAACATAGAGGCAATGTTTACAATGTATCAAAATACAAATATCGAAATTTAAAAATCTTTTCATAAAATAATAAATGCTACAATATGAGCAGAAATGATTTTTAATCAATAACTACTTTAGGATGCATTAGCGCGCCATCTGTTATCAAAATTCGAAACTATTATAGACGCGTATTATTCTTTTGTAAATTAAACCATTTCTACTGTCCCTTACTGCAATGGAAAAATTAAACTGTCGAAACCGCTAGGAGGGTTCACCACTGATGAGCCAGGACCTCCCATTAATTTTTACATTACAGTAAGGACAGTAGAAATTGTTTAATATTTAAAAGAATCATACGCGTCTATAATAGTTTCGTGTTTTAACTACTTTATTCACAAAAATGAAATTTATACATAAAATGATTTTTTCCAACAATGAAATTCTATTAGCAACAATGTTTATAAAAATGCTACCCAAAATGTCTGTTTTTCCAAGAACATTGAATGCCGGCCAGGCAACCTCTTATCTTCAATAATGTGTAATTTATCAGAAACAATGGATTTTTAGCCACTACAATACCATTTTATCCATAACAATGAAAATTTATTGTCGCAACAATTACTTTTAATTTAGTTATTGTGTTATTCTCCTGTCAACGGTCAAATATACACGAAATCTTGAGTTCATGGAATAAAAACCGATAAAAAATGTATCTATGGATGGATAATTGATTTATTTAATTAATATTTATGCATAACAAAAATAGTTTATCCAGACAAGAAGTATCTGTTGAAAATATTGAGATCAAACAACTATTTTTAAAATAGTTACAATTTCTAACACTAGATGGCGGGCAGTGTCTGCTGTTTGTTAACAATCGATCCAAGTGTTATATTAAAAAATAGGAATAAAATTATAATTTTCTAGAGTAAATTATTATTTTATTATTTTTAAAAGGTGTATAAATCAGTAAATTCATAAATAAATGTAAAAAAGTTAGTTGCCTCAGTTGAAATATAAGTTCCGAGATAAACTGGCGGCTGGGAGTCGTGGCGTGCTCCTGTAATCCAGCTACTTGGAGGCCGGGGTTGGTGGACGGCTTGAGGCGAGGAGCCCTCCCTTCTGGTTCCCTATGTTGACCGGATGTCCGCACTAGGCCCAGCGTCAATATGGCGACCCCGGGGGAGCCCGGGGCCTCCAGGTCAGCTAAGGAGGAGTGGACCGGCCCAGGGCGGAAACGCAGCAGGCAAAAGCTCCCGCGCAGGGCGGTAGTGGGATCGCGTCCGTGAATAGTGTCCAATGGGAGCCTCGCCGATATAGTTGGACCCAACTCTTTTTTTTTTTTAAATATATTTTTATTTTAATTCATACTTTTAAAATTATTTACAGTAAAAAGAGTTTATATTGCGCGATAGATGTTAAAAGGTCAAGGGTTCGAACCCGCTTTTGGCAACTTTTTTTTTTTAACCATTAATTTTTATTTATTATTTTTTTAATACGAAATAGAGATTTTAAAATATATTGCCACGTGGAAAATTAGGAAAGACAAACCTCAGAATTACACGGCAATTTATTTAATGTAAAACCGAATTGAAATTATTAAAATAGCAGAGAGGTAATGAGAAAATTTTTACAGTGTATCAAAATACAAACATCGAAATTAAAAAATCTTTTCATAGAATAATAAATACTCTGCTAAATAGCTTCTTCCCTATGGGAGCTGTGACCTACAGCTTGTTGCTACTGACATGGATCTGACGTGTTTCTGCCAAGTATTTCCTCGAAGTCTTGGACGTCTGTCCCTAGTACCTTTGCGTCCTGTTTCTTGCGGCGTGAAGAGTGGCTTTTTCGTCGTATCGTCTATAGGGACATCGTCGTCTTGGCTTTGACACGGCAGTGGAATACTGGAACCAGTCTTTGAATATGTAGATCACAGCATCCTACTCTCACGACAGGACACCAGCGCCGTGGTTGTAACACTAGAAACAAATTACTGTATTATCAAATTCTTGTTTAAAACAAAAAGCGCAACATTTAAAATGTCGGCGTGTTTAATTCATCATATGTAGCGGTAACACGTGGTTTCCCAATAAATGGAAAACCAACGTTCAAACAATCTTGTGTACGTTCATTATCCGTAAGAGATCCCCACTCTACCATATCTTCTTCTTTCTTATCTCGACTCAAACATATCAGGGTATCAAGCTTGTTGATGGTGTCTGCTGGGGATGAGTCTTCTTTCTTTTCTCCACTCAATCATATCAGGGTATCAAGCTTGTTGATGGTGTCTGCTGGGGATGAGTCTTCTTTCTTATCTCTACTCAATCATATCAGGGTATCAAGCTTATAGAGCTTGTTGATGGTGTCTGCTGGGGATGAGTCTTCTTTCTTATCTCTACTCAATCATATCAGGGTATCAAGCTTGTTGATGGTGTCTGCTGGGGATGAGTCTTCTTTCTTTTCTCCACTCAATCATATCAGGGTATCAAGCTTGTTGATGGTGTCTGCTGGGGATGAGTCTTCTTTCTTATCTCTACTCAATCATATCAGGGTATCAAGCTTATAGAGCTTGTTGATGGTGTCTGCTGGGGATGAGTCTTCTTTCTTATCTCTACTCAATCATATCAGGGTATCAAGCTTGTTGATGGTGTCTGCTGGGGATGAGTCTTCTTTCTTTTCTCCACTCAATCATATCAGGGTATCAAGCTTGTTGATGGTGTCTGCTGGGGATGAGTCTTCTTTCTTATCTCTACTCAATCATATCAGGGTATCAAGCTTATAGAGCTTGTTGATGGTGTCTGCTGGGGATGAGTCTTCTTTCTTTTCTCCACTCAATCATATCAGGGTATCAAGCTTGTTGATGGTGTCTGCTGGGGATGAGTCTTCTTTCTTATCTCTACTCAATCATATCAGGGTATCAAGCTTATAGAGCTTGTTGATGGTGTCTGCTGGGGATGAGTCTTCTTTCTTATCTCTACTCAATCATATCAGGGTATCAAGCTTATAGAGCTTGTTGATGGTGTCTGCTGGGGATGAGTCTTCTTTCTTATCTCTACTCAATCATATCAGGGTATCAAGCTTGTAGAGCTTGTTGACGGTGTCTGCTGGGGATGAGTAGAGCTCATCAATGGATGATTCAATACAGTCAATAATGTAGTTTTGGGGTTGCAGGTTGACACTTAGTACATAGTGGGAAAACCTTGCAACCAGCCATATAAGACAAGGTAGTAAAGTTTGGCTGCAAGGACACCCTACTGCGGGTCACCTAAGATTTTATAAAACCTATGAGATACTCTTGGCCAGAACTTCTCAGGGGAAAGTGTTGTTGTTGCTTATTCGTTTGGACGGTCTTTTCTAAGGATATGATAGTTTCTGAGTTTATGTGAAGTGCTTAGTTTAGTCTCTTGTAGGGCAATGATTTGAGCTTGATGGTCTGCAGGATTTCTTCTAGTTTGATTTTAGTTCCTGTCTATACGAAAGTATGTAGCACATTGTAAAGAATACCAAACCGTAAACCTGGGTTGCTCAAATCCCCCTGCAACCTTTTCATTCCAAAGAATTTGAATAGATCTTCTTGGGAGATTCCCGAAATCCTTTGAAGGTAATAAATGGATCATAGTTTGTACTGACGATCTTACTCGATTTGCCGTTACTAAAACCTTACCCACAGGGCAAGCAAAAGAAGCAGCCAAGTTCTTAATGGAAGATGTTGTTCTCAAGCACGGAGCCCCCAGAGAAATCATCACGGACCGAGGACGAGTATTCCATTCCAAGTTGATTGCGGAACTCACCAATCAATGCTCGTCGGTTCACGACAGCGTATCATCCCCAGACGAATGGACTGACGGAGAGGTTAAACAAAACCTTAGCCAACATGATCGCTATGTATGTAAGTGTTGAACAGAAGGACTGGGAAGTAATCCTGCCCTACGTCACGTTCGCCTACAACACGGCAAAACAAGACACGACAGGCTTCACCCCATTCGAACTAGTCCATGGACGTGAGGCTGAAACAACTGTGGATACTTTATTTCCAAACCCGATAGAAAAGCTTCAAGTGGAATATAGCCAAAGGATTGCGTCGCGAGTCGAAGAGACTAGGCAGCTAGCAAGATTAGAAACCTTGAAAGCCCAAGAAAAGGACAAGGCCAGATATGACTCAAAGCACGAGGCAATGGATTACAACGTCGGTGACCTGGTATGGATTTTCATCCCAATAAGAAAGGTGGGACTCTCAGAAAAACTGATGAAAAGGTACTTCGGGCCATACAGGGTTACTCGGAACCTATCCGACGTGACCTTCGAAGTTGAACCTGTGGACCAATATGTAAATGTAACGCCGTACCAGTACCTTCAGGCGGTGGATAAAGTGGTCGGCGGGGCCAAGAACATCGTACAGCTCACCAGGATGAACGGCCTGACCACTAATGTCCTAGCAGAGCGCTCATCGATGGGGACCTTGAAGATCGAGGGCACGACCCTCAGGACTTTCCTCTTCCGCAAGAGGGCGGAGAGGATAAATAATCGGCAACCTCCCCTTCTTCGTGGAGGATGGGGTCATCATCGAAGCCCTGCGGCCGTGTGACATCCATCGCCTCCAGGCAGTTCAAGGTGGGGAGTACACCTATGCAGACGGCCGTCGCGAGGCCTACATCTTCGAGGACCGCTTTGCTCCAGGACCATCATGCAGATGCAACTTGACTCTGCATCCTCGATCTACAAGCGCCTCGTTTATGGCTCGAGGTCTGCTGGGCGGGTAAGCTCCGCGTGGCCACCATCAACGCGCATGGGTTCGCCACTCGGGGGAGGAGCCTGGTACTTTGTCATCTCCTCAGGCAACACCAAGTGGACATTGCGTTTGTTTGTCCAGGAGACAAACAGTTCCTATCTAGACCTCTGGCTCGGATACAACGCTGTAGTCATACCACCCATAGCCATCTCGGGTTCTGGACTCGCCTGTGTCTTCGGACCAGGCGTCACCGTTCTGCGACAGGCGTGTCCTGTGGCCGGGCCACATTGCCTTGGCCGTCATCGATGTTCACGACGAGGAGATAACATTCATCAACGTCCATTTCTTCATAATCCCCACGAGCGGCTGGAGCTGATAGCGGCAGCTGCGATCCAAGAGGAAGCCTGGGTTCTTGGGGCTTCAACATCAGGGAGAACTCACCGGACTCCGTGGATGCCCTCACCACTCTTCAGGACCTGGCTCCCCACCAGGGTCGCTAGCCACGGCGACCGTATCGAGAGCAGCCGACTGGACCGAATCCTCGTTCCTGCGGGATCGTGTGAACACCTACACGAGTAGCTACTACCATCTCTACGACCACCGTGCTGCTCTAGGTGGGCCCGCCCGCCAAGAAGGGCGAAACTCGACGCCATCCTCGAGAAAGCTCCCTGTTTGACGAGGACTGACCAGCTTGGCCTCCAAAAGGAAGAGGTCCTACGTGCCCTCGTCTCCACTGCCAAGATCAAGTCCCCGATGACCAACCTCACAGCCGCCCAGAGGACCGCTTTGCTCTAGCTGTTCCGAACCATCATGCAAAGGCGACTTGACTCAGCCTCCTCCATCTACAAGCGCCTCGTGGTGGCCCAAGGCTTCTTTGGCGGCTAAGATTCATGAGCCTTGCATAGCGGCGATGTTTCGCTCAGGCCTCGTGCAGGAACACCTGGCTGACTATGTCACGGACATAGAGGAGGCCATGTGACGTGCTACTATGGGATAAATGGACCGGCACCAAGGCGACCAACTATATCTATGGTTCACTCAAATTATTTTGAGTTATAAATAATATTTTTTATGTTGATTATAGGGAAACTTTCCCAGCATTGATTTTTCAGCAACGTTTTACTTCACATATGTAATATGTATTAAAAATTACTCACTCTTGCTAGAGTGCCCTGTCTTTCAAGATTACAGAGTCAACAACGATTTAATAGCTTTAGGCCCTAGTGATTTAATCTCAAGTAAGGACACATATATAAAATTTAATTTCCCTTGTAAATATATTTTGGATTTCATTAAGAAAAATGGTCTTTGATGTAACGATCTCAAGGAAATATTGGACATATCTTGTGGTTGTAAACAATATATTGGTGTATGCGTGTATATGTGTGTATATATGTATATATTTTTAAATTTAATGATGTATGTAACTGTAAATAAAATTCAAAAAATATCTCTATATGTAAATAATATTTATGAATCTTTCTAAGTTACTTTCTGTGTATCTTTCCATGTTGAATATTTTCTTTGTTATATTTGTATGTACATTTAGCGCAAGTGTCCCTGGAGGGACATAGCGTTTTGAATTGAAATAAATAAATAAAGATAATTTCAAAAAAATATATAAGCAGAAATTTGTTTAAATGCACAATTTAGATTATATTCAAAGTTTACAAGCCCAAATCCAAAACAACATTTTCTTAACAATTTGGATAACAAACATCATATATGTTGCCATTGAATAATATTTTTTCCCCCAAATTTTCCTACTTTAACACTTTGATGAATTGAAAAATTGCAATGCTTTAAAATCAATTTAAACATACGACATTTAGCATGAGTGTATGAGATAATGATAAAGCACAATTTGGATTATAGATACAAGAAAATCAGACCAAATCCAAATCATTTAATAGTGTGTGACGCTACAGTTCATATGTTTGATGATGGTAACAATTCTGTTACCGAAACGTCACACACCATTAAATTATTTGGATTTGGTCTTATTTTCTTGTCTGTATGAGATAATTTT